TCTTCTTCTTCTTCTTCTTCTTCTTCTTCTTCTTCTTCTTCTTCTTCCACTTCTCCCTTTTTCACTTTCACTTCCTCGTCTTCTGCTGCTGCTTCCCCTTCTTCTTCCTTTTTTCCCTCCTCCTTCTGCTTCTTCCTCTCCTCCTTCTTCCTCTCCCTGCTCTCCTCTTCTTCTTTTCCTATTCCTTTTTCACTGACTTCTTTCTTTCCTAATCTTGCTCTTTGTTTTTGGTTCCCATTTTATTTTATCTCTTACCTTTTTCTTCATGCTTACATATCTTTTCCAGGCTTTCACTGTAGATAAATTAGTTTCTCTTTTTGCCTTTAATTCTGATATGCAGGAGCACATTGTCCTGGCCCAATAAAATCAAGGACTCAAGAGTCCTTGCAGGACCAGGAGGCAGGGTTGGTGGTGGGTGGGTTTTCTGGGTCTTTTCTTAACATTTTACAGTCACAGAGACACAGACTCCCTAGTCCACGTCTGTCCATATTCACACAGTCTGCTTACCCTGGGTCTTTCTTTGTCCATAGGCGTCTTTGTCCTGACTCAAGTGATTAACTGGTTCCGGACCATTCCGTTGACCTTCAAGGACCAGTTCATCATTGCCTACGGAGGGCTCCGAGGTGCCATCTGTTTTGCACTGGTGTTTCTCCTCCCTGCCACTGTGTTTCCCAGGAAGAAGCTGTTCATCACAGCTGCCATTGTCGTCATATTCTTCACTGTCTTCATCCAGGTGAGTGTAGCTTGTTCTTCCAGAAAAGTCTCCCTCTTCCTCAGGAGACAGGCATGTTCTGATGATCCAAGTGATGCTGCTGGCAGATGCACAGTGGCATAGGTGTATTGAAGCCTTGGGCACCATCCAGACAAGGAACACGATACTTCCTGTCAGGGTTCATGTGCTGGATTGTGTAGGACATCACAAGAGTCCAATTTGGTCACTTGACCTCCACAGAGGAAACAGTTATTTAAGGAAACTCGGCTCAGAGAATGGTGTTTACTACTGGAAACTGATGAACCACACGCTGTAATCCTTGTCATTTGCCTTGCTCTCTGACCTAGTAAGTATACGTGTTAAGAGCTGGTTGTGAGCCATGACCTTCCAGCAGGTACTTGACAGGCGCTGGCTGCTGACAGTGCCTTCCTTGGAGCAGGGAAATGGGGAGTCCAGGATACTGTGGGGAAGCAGAAAGCAACTCAGGCAATATGCCAGCTCTTAGAGTGTATTTTACACAAATTCATTTACCAACTACGCATCTGTCTTCTACTCTGTGACAGGCCCGGCCTTCAGAATTTAGAATTCTTACCCGAGCAAAACATAAGAATATATTCTTGTCTTTGCAGAACTTTCACTCCTGTCAGAGGTTAGGGCAAGATGGCGTGCGCCGGGAGAGAAAACTAACAGTAAAGTATGGAAGATACTTAAAGAGGGGGTTACCACACTAAGTGAGACCGGGGTCAGGAATGGAGAGGTGACCCAGACAGAGGGTCAGTCACAAATCTAAATTGATATTCACAGAGGAGAAAGGTGAGGAATATGACCTTTGCACAAAGGCTTGGAGGAGGTGGAGGCATTAGCCAAGCTGAGGGACATTCCAGGCACTTGTGCTGAGGAAGATCTTGTTTGCTGGAAGCAGAATGTTCTTGGCTGGGGTACAGGGTGGGCCAGAGTAACGGAGGACATGGTGGAAGCTTGCATTATGTTGCATTACGTCTTGGGGGAGAGTGACACTCTCCCCGAGAGGAGGGGACACAAAGCAAAGGCCAAGGAAGGCTGCATACAAGCCCGGCTTGTGGCCAGACAAGAGGTGAGATCCTGAGGCACACTCAGAACATGCAGGATCGCTTGGGGTGTGGCATGTGTGAGGGGAAGGAGGAGGCTTCACTGACTCTCAGGGTGGGGTCTGAGTGAGGAGAGGAATGGGCCTGTCCTCAAGGAGAAGGGAGAAGGGAAAGACACCAGAACTGTAGATCTGGAGGTTGGCAGTTCAAACACAAGCTTGTTGGGTCAGGGGCATCAGTGAGACCTAGAGGGACTGACACTGACTGCCTGGGTAGTAAGAGCTCAGGTTCAGTAAATCGGCCGGTCCTCAGTGGATGGTATGGGAAGCCACAAAATGGAATGGATTGTCCAGAGAGAGAAAAACGTACAGTGAAGAAACAGAAAGGCACTAAAATTGGGTGCTGAGGCAACCCCTTAAGGCCTGGGCAGGGAGGGAAACAGTCATGGAGACTGAGGCATGGCTGTCTTGTCTAGCCATCTACAAATGTTTTGTCATCATCGACACCTTACCCACAGTGACCTCTCCAGCAGTCCTTTAATTGAGCTTGGGCCTTCCAGTGTGAGGACAGGGGTTTTCCAGACCCCTGGCCAAGGATGATCAGGAGACGCTGTTAGGCTGAGGAGAGGACAATTTCCCTCACAGTCTTTCCATCCACGCCTCTTTAATGCCAGTTCCTTCAGTGATTACCACAGGGTGCCAATCCTGTCAGGCACCAGGTTAGAGATTTCCTGTGTGTGTCTCATTTCCTCCTCAAATCAACCCTCTGAGGTGAAGACTGGCACCGCCTCCCAGGAGCAAATGCATTCCCAGAGGAGAAGATGACCCCAGAGTGAGCTACTGAGGCTGGCCGCAGCCTCCCCCCCCCCCCCCCCCCCCCCAGAGCTCACAGAGGAAGGCAGCATTTGCTCAGTTGTGGTTATGTGTGAGTTGTGGTGAGCGTATGTGCATACAGGGGCAGTTGTAGGAGATTCCCTTGCACGGTGCACCCACACTCGCACAGCCCAGCTTTCATAGAGCTTATTTTGATGTTCAGTTTCTTAAAAGATGTCGGGGTAAGACACACAAGTGCACACAGCGGCTAGGCCCGTGCAGGAACAAGACCGCCAGCACCGCCGTGTCCACCTCTGCGCCCGCCCCAGTGAGACGTCAGGCACCAGCTCGCCCACAGAGCTGCGCCCTCCACCGACGGCACAGCTCTCAGACGTGCTCTCAAGCGCCCACCTGAGGCTGACCACAGTGGCCCTTTCTTATGATGAGTACAAGGAGCTTGCTCTAAAATAATGGGGCTCAGCTGTACACAGGGTAAGTGAGCAAGCAGCTTAGTGCAGTCACTGCTGCACGGGGCAGGGGCACCTGGCAGTCGGGGAGCTCATCTTCCTCTGTCATCATACCAGCTGACGGAGCGTTCAGTTCTGGAGCCCCGAGGGCGGTGACGTCAAGACAGAGCGTCTGAGCTTCGTGTCGTGTGGACGGCTGCTGAGCACACGCCACAAGTGTCATACGTTCACCTCCCTCACAGCTGTGCCATGGCATTAGGACCCGATTGACTTGAGCCCCTCCTTAGCCGGGGGGACGGGGGTGGGGGACACCACATCCTCCTTACACTGTGGCAAGGAGTTCTTCGGGTTTCACCTTTCTCCTCAGTGTTTACGGAATGTTTGCAACAAGCCATTCGAGTTGCTCCTTACACACAGATTGTCAGGACAGATTGTGCTTCAAAGCAGTGTTGCCGCTTGGCTTGTCACCTCCCCCAGAGCAGAATTCGCGTGGACGGAGATGGGGAGGGCCTGGAGGCTCTCCCGTTCCTCCAAGGCCTGCTGATTGCCTCGCCGTCAGCCTAGGCCTCAGGCTGCACAGCGCACAGCTTTCCTCCTCCCGGGACAGATGCTAGCATCTCCATGTGCCAGGCACGTCACCCTAGTGTAGGGGGTGAGGAACGGGGTCTCCGGGGTCGGACCTCAGCCCCCAGCACACCTTCTCAAGTGCCGTAGTACAAAGCAGTTCTCTGCCCCAGATGCCACAGGCTTGGCACAATTATGGAAAGACGCCAATTCAAGATAGGACACACAATACAAGCTTGGGACTAAGTCATTATCAAACATAAAAAGATATATCTACAGCCAGAATATCACATGTGAAAAAAGTATTATAAAGTAATACTATCAGTCATAGAATATAGGTGTACATTAATATTAACACACTAATACAGACTCGTCAGTAATAATTTTTGTCTATTTGGGGTTGAGACACAACCAAGAAATAAAGCTAAATTATCAACTCCTTATGCTATGTGCCTTTGCACTCACTGTTTTGTTTTGTTTTGTTTTTAAGACATGGTCTCATGGTGTAGCATTACCTTGGCCCAGAATTAACTTTGGGCAAGGCGGACCTCAAATTCATCAGACTCTGTCTGCCTCTAGCTCCTGAGTGATGGCTTTGAAGACATGTATAATATGAATGAATGTTTAACATTTAGTGTTACAGACAAGCTTGCTCTTTTGATTTGTCCCATTTGAAGTAGGAGTCTATATATATCTCTTTGCTGACTTGCGGCTCATCACCTACAGAGCAGCCACAGCCCAGGCAACATAGTCTGCTGAACAGCACCACCGCGTCCTGTGCCTGAGTTGTTAACAATGACACTAGAGGGAAATGTAGAACTTATGACACAGCAGACAGATGATATTGGCCACAGAAATAAAAGGTCAGCAAGGCCTTTGGCGGAAGTGGTGATGAAAGTTAGGCACGAAGTACGGTTATGACTCTAAAGTAGGAAGAATGTGAAGCCAGCATCTGGGCGAAGAGCATTCATGATGGCGGGAAGATAATACACCAAGTCCTAAGACAGGAAGTGAGCAGAAGGACACTGATGACCCACGTGACCACACCGAAGCAGCTAGACGGAGTCATACGATGTGGAGTTCAGAAAGCGCGGGTAGAGCATGCTTTGAACTGAAGGGTCCTGAGAAGTGCCCGTGGCAGGGGCGTGGCATGCTTTGGGGAGGCATCTCTAGGTCCTTGATGGGAGTGAAATATGGGATATATGTAGGTTGCTTGTGCATGAGGGTAGATGTACAAATGTGTAAAGGCCCCGATGGAGAAGGGACTCGGCCAGCAGACGGCAGGAGCCACGCATTGACTGCTGGAGTATGGTGAGTGTGCATGTTAGGGCCTTTGGACTGTGCTAGTGCCCCCAGGCCGGTCTGCCCCATTATAAGCCAAAGGGTCACTTGGCCAGACTCATTCTGAAGCCCTCGGAAAGGGCGGCCACAGCTGTGCACGCTCCAGCCACCTCCCACGTCTGTGCCAGTGCGTTCACTGCTGGCCTATCCCAGCGTGGCCTTCCTGCTCTCCTGACCCCCGGCAGTGCAAACACGCACATACCTATGCATGCACACACACATCCTCCGAAAGAGATTGCTATATCAGAATAGATCAGTGAAATAACTCTGGAGAGAAATGTTAGTGATAAATAGCAGTGAGAATGTAAGACATCTATTTTGCTCCAAATGACAGTTTTATGTTGCCGGACCTGTTGTTAAAATTTTAAATGATTTATCTGTGTCTGAGTGTTTGTGTGTGTGTGTGTGTGTATTTGTGTGTGTGTGCATTCTTATGCACGCACCACGTGAATGCCTGATATTCTCACCAGAAGAGGATATCAGGTGTCCTGGAACTGGAGTTGAGAATAGTTCTGAGATGTTATATGCTTGCTGGGAATGAAGCTTGGGTCCTCTGTAAGAGCGGCCAGTGCCCTTAACCACTGAGCCATCTCTCCAGCAACCCCCTTATTAAATTTTAAGATCTGATTTCTTCTTCTCACTTCAGAATTTCTTCAGGGATAAATTCCTCCAGCCTGATACATCATGCTGACTATCTTCAAAAATAGGTTACACGTGACATGATTTATTATTTATCATAATTAGTCGTGATAATTTAAACACTGCTTAAA